GAAACGCCAGATGCAAAGCTTTAGCATACATTATTTATTTGGTAACTCGGTTACATTTAGCAGCATAGATTTAGGCTACGGACCCACCCAACAGGACTGTAAAAACAAGCAATCAATGGCCAAGTGTGGAAGAATATACAGTCACATTTTTACGTCTTTTGTACCAATTTTTGTACCTGGCAATTTGATCATTTTTAGCAACAACAAATCTTTTTAAAACAAAAGTATTAGTGTCACCTTCCTCTTGCAGTTACAGAACGAGAGACAGATTCTGCTTTTACAGATAGGTTAAGTCTGCAAATGAACTTTAAAACATTGCAAAGTGTATTCTCCCTACGTTTTATCCTTTCCTCACAACGGGAACCCTGTTGTAAAGTACCCTGTAACCTTTATTTGTGTTTGGTTTCTCATTGAATTATGTATGCAAGCAATAGACTGTACCGCAAACATTCAAATAAACTAGCGAAACATACAACTTGGAAAAACTAATAAAATACCAGTTAAATAGGTTCCTTTGGCTCTGGAGAATACATTTTTTTTAAAAGAAAAGAAATCCAGCTATGGCAAGAGAGAGCTGTTCTCAACAACAACTTGCATTTATATAGTGCTCCTCACGCAGGGTAGCGTCCCAGAACACTTGACGCGAATTAAATCACTTAAAAAAAAACTCTTGAGCGGCCTTTCAAACACTTCATTTTTTTTTAAACTGTACTGTAAGATTGCCATAATTAACTTTCTGAAGTTCTCATCACTTTGATCTTGATTATCGTAATGTGTACATGGCTTTGAAGTACAGTACATTATACCCCCCATTGTAACGTGCTTCAATAAAGCGAAAACTCACTTATAACATGGTTGTACTGTGGACCCAGGACACGTCTGATGTCACTTTCTGTTTTGCAGCGCATGCGCAGAAAACAGGAAGAGACATTGGCGGTCATCCCATTGTCAGCCACGTTTTCTTTTAGGTCAGGGACACTAGAAAGTCTAAGTAACAAAACCAAGTTCATACGTAAGCAGCAAGCTGACCTTGTGCTTTAGTATCAAAGTTTCAGTATAATGATACCAATCTGGTGGGTGGGCAAGCGAGCGAGTGAGTGAGTAAAAAGATTGCCCCAGGAACTAGTATGCGCTGTCAGCATGAAGCGAAAAAAAAGATTTTTTTTTGTTTATTCTGCAAATTTCTCCCCTCTCCTGACAGGGTCAGACTCCTTTTTCCTTCCACTGGATACAATTCCGCAGGCAAGAGAACCTGCTGATACCTCGCTTAAAAAGTGCTCACCTTCATGTGTGACCCATTGACAATAAGTGTCAGCAGGCGACTCATATCGTAGGGGGTATAAAAACAGAACCCGATACTGTCCTCACCCAGGGCTAGAAACTCCAGCGGGATCTAGATGTTAGCTTCGCCTCTTATTGAAAGCGGGAGTTACTCCAGGTTAAGGTAGTATAAGCTTAGTACCAAGTGGAATTTCTGGTCCCTGACATCCACACGCACGCATGCTCTTGAGAGAGCAATCAGGAGAGGGACTCCTTGGCTGATTTTCCCCACCAGAGATCAGCTTATATCAACACAAACTTGGAACTGTTCCATTCTGTAGAGCTCAGCTACTCTTTGGTTAAACTCACTGATCCGCTGAGGAAGCCTTATGATGTGAATTAAATCACTTAAAAAACCTCTCAAGTGGCCTTTCAAACACTTTATGTTTTTTTAACTGTACTGTGAAATTGCCATGATTAACTTTCTGAAGCGATTAGCAGAGTGGTCTACTCACATACAAGTGTGAACGAGCACAACCTTACTTTTGCTTAGCCCGTGGCAAGAGTGATGAGGAGAGGCAGAAATGTGATTCCAGCCTACTACTGCCTCACAACACCACCAACCACAAGCTGAATTTATACAGAGCCTTTCATTTTGGGAAGACGACCAAACAGTCGAGAGTTTGCAGTGGATTCGGGAGGGGTGAAGGCTAAAGGTGGGGGAGAAGATGAATGAAGGCACGGTCAAAGAGGAAAGTCTTGAGATAGGCCTTGAAGGAGGCGACAGAAAGGGAAAGCCCGAGGGTCTCCAGATTGGAGTTCCAGTGAGTGGTTTAAGAACGAACTAGAGGTGTGGTGGAGCGAGCCGGTGAAAGTATTTAAAACTGAGGATCTTGAACTCAATCAACTGGGAGATCTTATGAAACTTAAAGTAAAAACTCATAAGATATCAAGCTGGGCAGAAATGTGGGTGATAGGCTGGTAGAGCCTATTGGGGATGACCTACAATATGGCACTTGCAGTAGAACAAGGCACGCCATGTTAAGAGATACAGCAATTGTGTATTTTAAATCCTACGTTGCACAGACAACCTCTGTATTTCCTGGCAAAAATCAAAACTGCTTCAGTTGTGTACATAGGAATGGGAATGTTTACAGGAAATGGTGCCATCCTCAAAACAAATCCAGCACAGGATCCAAAACACAAGTTGCAAACGTATATTTTATAAATAGAAAATAAAAAACAGTTCCAAAAAGGCATAGCTAATACAGTACACATGTGGTTTCACAATCTGCGTCAGTTCATTTATGACCTTTGAAACTTACGGGTGCACATTCATCCTTAAAGTAAAAACTAATAAGATATCAAATTATACCATTTACATCCGCTCTGCATTATATCCAGTCCTATATGGGAAACAGATTACTGTTAGATTACTTTGATATTTATACAGATACTTGACCACCCACCTTAGGGAGGCTGGTGATTAAAGAGAATCTGGGCACTAATATTTACCGGCCGTCGTCTTCAGGCCACAGTGTAATTACTGTATTAACTATCTCATCAGAGTCTGGTCTTTGTGTTATGGCTACTTCACAAACTTAGCATCATACTCACCCAACATCTAAGAATTTTGCTTTGTGTTACCTACACTTCAGAGTCACGTGCACACAGCAGAGATCAAAGTGGTAAGCAAGAAGCTCTCTCTCTTTGACCCCAGGAGATGTTTTTGTTTTGTAACAAAGAAATGTTTTTGGATTGCAGAAGCTATTAGCTGGCGTGAACAGAATTGAGAACTTGGGAGAGGAGATAAAAACTAAATGCTTTCAGGTAGGAATCTCTCAAACCGTAACTGGCAGTTATTGTTAAACTCAAGATATGGCTGAAGCAACTATCTAACTGGGTTAAGTTTTTGCCCTTGTTGACAAATATAAAATGAAGAAGAAACTGAAATGGTTTAATCAATGGTCCAACAAACTGGGCCAATATCACTTATTCAAAACATAAAAAGTGCTGATAAATAATAATCTTTGCATTAGATGTTACACCTTTCACATCACAACAACATTTTAAAGCGCTTCACAGGATATAGTGGATTGATGGTATATTTTGTGCGTGAATCGCGGCAGCCGGTTGTGCATATCAATATCCCACAAACTGCCATTGGCCAAAGTTTTATTTGGGAGATTGTTATTTTTTATTTGGGGAGATAAATATGAAATAATTATATTTTGAAAGGAAAACTGAATTAAAGTATTTATGATTAATCAGAACGGATAGTAAATTGAATGCAATAGCAAAATTAAGAATAGTTTACCTAATTAAACATATTTTAATGATATAAGATCTTCTTCCACAATACTGATTGGGAATATTGGCAAACACCAAGTATACACATAGTATATTTCAACTGAAAAGCAAGAGAAAGAACAAACTGGAGAGAACAAAACACAAAGCATTTGCACAAAGCTAGTTACACATCGATATGTTCTCCAGTAAAGACCACACAAGAGGCCATTCAATACGTCAATATAAATTGTTCCATACAGATTTTCAACTGTTGATTTACAACTAGGAAGTTCACAGGCAATTCTGATTATTAACAACATTGAGAGTAGGTTTCAGTTCATAAAAATGCAGGTTAACGATGCCATAAATGCTGTAAGGTCAGCAAGTGACATGGAAGATGAACAGTTGCCTTTATTAATACCTGAATGTTTTGATGTTTCACCACTCATTCTAAATTTATGCTTTTTTGTAAAAGGCTTCCCTTGCCAATTATTTTTACAAATGCAGAGACAAAAATCACACTCAATTTGCATCTAGTACTGAATTTTCGTTAAAACTCCTGTACAGTCCAGTAGGAATTTTAACACTAAAGTAACTAATTATTATAAATTTTCTTTGAGATGAGGACAAACGACTTTCAAACACAAACTCTCAAGGTTAATGAAATACCTGTTTGCAGTTCTGCAATAACAAAATTAAGAACTTTTAATTAAAAAAAATCTGCTAAACTCCCCAAAATAACTTAAATTCCAAGATCTGTTTGTGTTTTATAAAATACTTCCAATAAAGTTGAAAAATATTAATATAAATTCCCCCATGTCAAATGCATTTAAAATATTAGACTGAGCTTGGCGTGTTTTGCTTACATCAATAGAAGTAGAGTTGGTAGCACTCTTATCTCTCATTCAGAAGGTTGTTGGTTTAACTCATAGTCTAGTCTGACACTTCAGTGCAGCACTGGGGGCAGCACTAGATTGTAGGATGTGCTGTCCTTTGGATAAGATGTTAAACCAAGGTCCTAATTGTCTTAAAAGCAGATATCTATTGACAACCCCACTAAGGGTTAATGTACCCTCAGTGGGGTTGTCAATAGGTTGCTTTGAATGACATGATATGAATACCATCGAGTTGACAAAACTCTTTGTGGTCTTCATTACCATGACTAAAAGAAAGCCAGGTGGGAATCAGGGAGACATCAAAAGGGAATAAGAAAAGCTTGGGTTTATCATTTTCACATCCATTCTAAACTACCACCATGAATTACTGACTGGATGCATAATGGAATCCCTTTCACTACAATGCATAAATCTCAATAAGGAATACCTCTGAGGGAATAAAAGGAGTGAAATTTAAGAGGGAAGGTTGATGGTTCACGGCATACAATTTGAGAAATAATTTTGACATTTTTTTAACGACCTGTCTTGTCATCCCTGGAGGAAATGAGATTTTACCTGGATCCACTCATTGGCTTTCAATTCCACAGCGTTGTGAGGATCGGCGCTGTATAGACACCACAAGCACTGCAACAGGTTCTGCTGGCACTCGTCTGCATTAAAAGACAGAAAAAGGACTCAGTGTAAACTATAAAACTAGACAGTGCTTTATAAAGCCTCACTCCAAAAATGTCTGCACCGAGTACATTGGAAATTCCTTACACACAATATAAACACACAATGTATATCATTTCCAATACTTTCATGTAGTGTTAAGCAGCATGTGCATATAGCCAGAGCCTCTGAGGGTCTGGAACTACAAATACGAGATCTGTTGTGGAGAAATGGACAAGTCTGAAGATTTATTTAAATTTCAGCTCTGCGATAATAAAACACTGACATAGACTAAACAAACCTTCACCTCAGTTACTTTAAAACATTGGCATCACTTATATCAATGAATCAATTCAAGAAGTGTTGTATCTAGATTGATTATAGGTCCGAATCCAGGTGGGGGTCAAATCCTTGAAATGCCCTCCTGCTTTTGGGTTTGTTCAATCACATCAAAATGACAAGTGTTCTGGCTGGCGGTTCACAGTTAAAAAGCCTTTCCCATTTATACCTGGCTGGTAATGAGTTACAAATGCCACCTGCTGATCAACTCAGGTTGCAGCGCTGGGGTGTTGAAAGCAGACTGCCGCAATGCTGCAGGTCACTGCCTCTGGCTGAGCAGGGATCATTTTCAGTGACTTGATGTGTGATGTAACTCAGCCTTAGTTTCTTGTCAAAGAATGACTTGAATTTTTTTTAAAAAAAGAAAAGCAAAAGCAAAATACATACCTCTAAAGTACATAACCATCTGAAATTGGGCAATCTGGCACTGCAAAGCAATACAAGATGTTGGAGGAGGGAGACATTTCAGATCCTAACACTGCTCGTATATCCTAACTACCCCTTCAGGCAAATTCTGTTGTGTACCCAAGGACAAGAACCTCTGCATAAGGTCAGAGTTGATTACTTACCATGTGCTACGATAAATGGCATCCAGCAAAGTCTCCCCAACAACTGGCCTATCAACGGAAACAATCTGATTGTTTCAGTTGTGTTCTGTAACAAAAATATATGTTTATTAATCATTACAGCATTTAAGTACAACTGATCACAGAAAACAGTCAATGCCTGATTGCACATTAATGCACCATTACCAACAAACAGACTCAAACTGAATTTCTGAGGTAACTAGTTCAGAAAGTTTGCAATGTAATGAAAGTAGGTGTTATTGCAGGACTGCTAATCCTCCCTCTGTTGCACCCACTTTTATACTTCCCAAGAGCCAGAAGGTTAGGATCACAGAAATCTCCATATGGAGACAGTGGTAGATGGGACTATAAAACAGTGTGGATCATCAACAAGCACCAAAAGAAACAAATGCCAGAGACCACAGACACTTCTCCATAGACAGTGTTTCCAACCAAATACAAAACTTAGCGTTGATGTAATGTTGGTTTAGACATTTATATCGACTCCAACTCCAACGTCAGAACAATATCAAATACCCAGCTGGAGGAGGTGCAGATTGCAAAGGTCCATTCAAATACCACTTTAACAAAATGGTTGAATGTTATTGAAGCAGATGGATACACAATGCTCCAAGGCACTGCTAATAACAGATCAGCCAGGCTGGCTCGTCAACAGGAGTTGGAAGGTCATTCAGTTTCTGTTAACCCTATAAGCCAAAACCCTAACAGCAGAGTAGTCCTAGCTGGACAAGCAGTGGAAAGCTAGGATACAGTGCTCTCAATGGCAAGCTATGAAGTTTTAGCTGGTTAAACTACAGCACGCTCTGGGATCTCCAAGCCTTGGCACTTGCCAATCTGCTCTTAATGATCTCTTGAATGAGATAAGCAGGATGCTCCCCTCCATGGAGACATTGCACATTCCATTCCAGGCACAGGAACATTTCCATGCTTGGTGGTACATATGTGGTTTGGAACTTTCAATCTGGTTTGGATTCTCTTCCGAGTCCTGTTGACAAGCCAGATTGACTGGTTTTATCATTAACAGTGCTTTGGAGTATGCCTGGCCTGCCTGGTTCAGGACCCAGTTAGATACTCTTAAACATGCTGATGGATTTCTACGTATGTCAAGACACCCGGCTGACAATCAAAAAAATTATGGAGAATTATATGTGAAAAAAATAATAATCCTCACATCTGACAAAGTATCTATAACATAGAAATTTCTCAAAGCACCGCACAGGTAATTTCTGTAAAGTGTGGTGGCTGTATTTGTAGGTTAAAGTGGCAGTCAATTTGCACAATTTTATTTTTGAAAATATATATTTATTTATAAATATAATAATCCTTGCATTTAATATCCTTGCATTTGATATAGCGCTTTTCACGTCGGGAGGACGTCCCAACGCGCTTCACAGAACACACTGTAAAGTGAATTGACTGTATATTTGTGGGCGAACGCGGCAGCCAATTGCGCACAGCAATGTCCCACAAACAGTCGTAGATTGAAAATGAACAATTTATTATTGTTTTGTTTTTGGAGGGATTATTATTAGGTGTGTGGAGTAAGGAAACTTGCCCAAGGTTTCGCAATGCCTGGAATTGAACTCAGGTCTCTGGCTTGCAAAGCGAGTGCTCTAACCACTGAGCTACAGGACTCCACGAATATACAAATATAATATTTGGTACAACAGAAATCCAAAACAAACGCAACGTACAACATCTTCTGTTAAATTTTTCCCTTTCTCCCGATACAAAAACATTCCGTTGTTTACCTTACATTCCTTCACCGCACACAGATTGCGCACATGTTTTTTGGGATGCACCCTGATAAGGTGCACTTGCTGCTTTCGGAAGGTGCCCCAATGTGCACCGTACGCGCACTTGTTTACCATTTTCGGGACGCTCTTTATTTACATAGTTTCGGGTGCCCTCGTGGGTTACCCGGTGAGCATGCCCTGGGCGGTTTGTACATTAGCGGCTCCTGCCAGGGTCAGGCCCCATCTGGCCTTTGCCATGGTTGAGCCGAGCTTCAGTGTACAATCCCTGATCCTAGCGTGGCGAGCCTGAGGCAGGGGCTTTCTGTTCCCTTGTTCTGCCAGAAGAACCCTTGTTTCAGGAGTGCCAAAGGGCCTCCTTTACCGAGTTTATGATCCTACAGGCACACTTAATGTGGGTCTTGCTGTGAGTGCCCGGGAAGAGGCCATATTGCACCGAGTGCCACGACAGCAGATCCCCAGGGACAAACAGCGAGAGCAGCCATTCCATCTTTTTCCAAACCGCCTCTGCAAAACAGTACTCCAGGAAGAGGAGGTCCATGGTCTCCTGGCCTCTGCAGACAGCCCAAGGGCAGCGTGCTAACTGGCCCAGACGTCAACCGTCCATGAAAGCCCTAAGGGAGAGGGCCCCTTTTATTGCCATCCAGGCCATGTCCTGATGTTTGTTGGTCAGGGCCGGTGACGAGGCGTTCTGCCAGACATAGCTGGCTGTCACCACAGGGTAACTCCCAATCGGGTCTGCCCTCTCCCACTTTCAAACTGTTTCAGTCAACTTGCACATAGCAGCGTCCCACAAAGAGTCATGAAGTGAATGACCCATGTTATCAGGAGTATTGTTCTCTAGGACACTAGGAGAAACTCCTTTATATTTTCGCATAGTGTGTTGTAGGATCTTGAACATCCACAGCAAAAGGAATTTGATCAAATTTCCAATGAGAATCCACTGAAGACAGAGGCGAGAGAGTGACCAGCCGAACCCAGCTGACACAACTACTGACAAGGTCTACACACACAAGTTTCCCCTGCCCCCAATCATACATGAAATTCATGTTCCTATCTAAACTTTTTTAAACCTGAAAACCTTTCAGAGAAAATCTGCTCCATGGTTCAAGGTATTCCTTCCATGATATACACCAGGTGGCACTGTGCAACTGAAACTATATTCACACAACTTTGTTATTATCAAATTTCCGCTAAAGTCCAATTTGTTCCATACAAAATAAAATAATATCATGATAATTCTTGCATTTGATAAGGCGCCTTGTCATATTGAAATGTCTCAAAACGCTTCAGAGTATTTTAGTAAATTCTTGTAAAAACAAGTTACTGCCTATTTATAGGCAAAAATGACAGTCAATTTGCATACAGCAATGTTCCACAAATAGTCATGAAGTGAATAATCAATTTATTTATCTGGGTATACATTGACCAGGACATTTCACATAGCAAGTACTGCTACAAGAATTCTCATGAAATTATACTTAAAGGCAGCATATGTAAATCCTGACCTGCTATAGTGACAATAGGAGGCCAATTTGTTGACTGTGTGCCTGTGCTTGTTACTACGGCTGACCAGGCTTCTCTTCCTCCGGCCAACACATGTAGCACCAACACGTGTAAAGTAATACCATACGACTGAGGAGTTACTGCAACATTCAGGACCTCTACTGATGAGCCACTTCAAATATTCAGAACGATTTCTTTGCAAATCTAACAACTACATTGTATTGGTTACAGATGGTCCAGAACTTCATACACTTAACAAAAGGCTCCGATTTGAAAGGAAATATAACTTTCTGTTGTAAACTACGTTCAATATCCCGATGGACTCAGGTGGTAAAGCTCCAGTGCTCTGTGTGGAAAATTATTCATGGAGGCCAATGTGGAGTATAAACACTGGCAGGGAATAATTGGGCTGAACGGCCGGTTTCCATGCTGTAACGCTCTAGGTAATTCCATGTTTGATCCCTGATTTATGCTGGGTTAGTTGATCTCATTCCGGTGAAACAATCTGTCTCAGCATCTCTAGGCTGGGGAGGGGGTGGGGGGGGGAGAGAGAAGAAAGAGCTCAGCCTGCAGCAATTAAGTTACCTTTGTTGCAAACATACATATGAGGATGAAAGGTAGGAAACAGATTTGGGTTTGCCTGTGATTGTGGAGTCCTGTAACATAGTAGTTAGCGAGAATACCCAGGTTCGATTCCCGGGCGAGGCAAAACCTAAGGCAAGTTTGCTGACTCCACATGCCCCTGTTTACCTAGCAGCAAGTAGGAACCCAGTTGTTAGTCAATTGGATTGCTTTCCGGGAGCAATAATCCCTCAAAAAAAAATTGGTCATTCAATCCACGACCGTTTGTGGGACATTGCTGTGCTCAATTAGCTGTCACATTTCACCCATAAAATACACACACAATCCACTTTACAATATATTCTTTGAAGCACATTGAGACATCTCAACAACGTGATAAGGTGCTACATCAAATGCAAGGATCATTATTATTTTACCCTACAGATCCCTAAGATTCAAGAAAAAAGAATTGGGGGAAGGGAGCAATGAATATGAATCACATTTTGAATATGCTTAACTTGAGCGAGGTTTGCTCTGATGTTCATATCCCTAGCAATGTAAAAATATCAATGGTAAAAATGTTATATTATAGACTAAAGTAATCCAATTATAAAGCAAATACTAAGGCAGAACCCACGATTATCACAACCTTTTGCTATAAACAAATTGGCTTGGGTTTTGAAGTTATCTTCAGAATGTGGAATACATTCATTTGCATGAAAGGTTTGAAAAGGACGTGCTTCTTTTAAAGTATATTGGGGTCTAACATGCAGTCTAAATTAAGAGATTCCTTAAGTATTGAATGAATTACTTGGACAGCGCTTTCAATGCTGATGTGGTGAAACCAGGTCGCACATTTAACTTCTGGCTCGCAGATCACGGCTTTTAATTCGGGCAGGTTTGTGGGATCATGGTTTTACTAAACATGGGTATCTTGCGCAGTATTTGTGATGAAGCCATATACAAGTAGGTGCTATCATCAGCAAACTTTATAATATGTTGTTGTAATGTCACAAAAATGCAATGTCTCCCCCAAATAATTTATAGGAAGAAACAAAGCAAATCCCATCACAAAATCTTTACCATAGACTTGCAGGCTGTTTTTTTTTTCCATTTAACATTACATTCTGCATCCTTATCAAATGCTTTCTGAAAATTCAAGTAAATTACATCCATTAGATAGCCTGTAATCCCTATCTCATTTGCCTCTTCAATGAATTCCAGTGGACCTTGACCAATTGTTTTT